TATCAACTTGCAATAGATTCTTTCTTTTCTCTAATCTGATGGCATGTGAGGGTCACCAAAACTTTGGGGAAGCAGTCAACGAGGCCTTCAGCAAGGAGAGCCTGACTTGAGCTTCTGTGGACAGAACGGATCTTGGAGTATAGGGAGAGAGGGGAGAGGCATTGTAGACAGATAAATGAACAGATGGTGAGCTGGGAAGACTCAGACCTTCACAGTCCAGACTCAGGATAGCCTGGACTTGGTGCTGAGAAATAAGGCTAGGGCTGCTTTAGAACAAACCTTGGGAACGGAAAGCTGGATAGAGGGGCTTGATGGATGTTTGCAGTACTAAAGCCCTACAACTATGATATGGTTTGAGATCAGGACACTTCATGTTGCAGCCTCTCTTGATCTGAAAGTAAAAGTACCTCCCTGGGTCTCCACTTTCACTTTTTCTCCCCTCTTTACTTAACTAATTGTGAAATTTGCACAGCCAGTCCTAAGCAAGAATATGTGCTAGCAGTTTATCAACTGCTGAATAGACTGACTTTCTTGAGAAGTTTCCCAATAAAACTGGCTTAAGTTGTCACCATAAAACATCCTTTTATAATCTTTGCTATAAGCACTGGACCACTCATAAATTTGTTGTACAATAATCCCAGGAGACATCTACTTTCTTAAAACCAATTTTCATTGAAATAACATTGGCCTATAACACGATATGTTCATATGTTCAGTATTCTACTTCCACAACTGTACATAACCAGCACTGTCCACTTTCCATCCACTGCCTTGCATTTGATGCCTTTTGCTTGTTTCACCCACCTTCCACAGGATGCATTTAGTAGCTAACCATCTTATGCAGATGAAACATTTACAATAAATATGTTGCAATAATAAAATTGACCCTTGAAAAATGTGTGGGTTTGGGGTGCAGCCACACAATATAAAGTCTGCATATAACCTATAATCCCCTTCCAAACTTAATTTCTGTAATTCCTCAGAATCCATGGGGCTTGGTTTCAGGAGGCCAGCAAATCTGACTGTTCAAGTCCTTGTAGTCAGTCATCCATGTCCTCAAACTTGCTTTGCAGATTCAATCAACTGATATCCAGATGTGCTAAACCCTTGAGTGGAGACCCCAAAGGGAAATAAATCTTTGTAGAAGTTGAACCTTTGTTGTACAAACCCATGTTGCTCAAGGGTCACCTGTATATATAATAACATAATTGATGACACTGCCTGTATTAATATAATTACAAATTACTTAAATTCATGATATTTATTATTTGGACAAAAAATTTACATATACATACTTTATGAACAACAGTACCTAGTTAGCTATGAGAAATTGAGTTTACACTTTATTGTATGATACAAAGGGTGATGAATGGAGTAAGTACTCCATTTGGTACTAGGCATTTTATTAGGCTGCATGAAGCAAAGTACCTTGTCCATGAGTTTTCCGTGGTTAGTACAATATCTTTTATTGATTGTGAGACCTTTTCTCCATTTTCCCTATTCTGTTTTTTCAAGTGATACTCTTTTTGTTATTATTTTTTTAAAGATTTATTTATGCATACAGGACTGGGGTACAGGTCAGAGGTACAGGGGTAGTGAGAATATTCACCAGAGACAGAGTGGGGAGCAGAACAGGCAGAAGTGCACTGCTGAGGGGAGCAGCCAGCAGCTCAGGAGAGGTCTGCCATGTGGGTCACCTCCGGGGCAGGCGGGAATTGAATTCATGCTGAAGTGGCTTTAGCTTTTTAGTGCTGTGCTTCAACCTGCTGCGCCACCAGGGAGGGCCCTTGTTGTTGTGTTTTAAAAATGAGAAATACCATAACCAGGATAATTTATTTGACAGATTACTGATGATTGCCCAAGATATGAGCTGAATTTGTTCACACTTCCGAAGCAAAATTGTGAAGATTTGGAATATGTCCTCATACCTCGTGGCATCATTGTGAACAGGTGAGTGTTACTGCTATGTCAGTCTTGGCCCTGTGCTGCACCAGCTCTCCTTTTGAAAAACGCAATACACTTTGGGATACTCCCTAAGTCACTTAAAAAAAAAAAAGAAAAAGATTTATTTGTGCATACAGAACTGGGGTATAGGCCAGAGGTACAGGGGCAGTGAGAGGATTCACCAGAGACAGAGTGGGGTCAGAACAAGCACACTGCTGAGTCAGAAGGGGCCTGTTGTGCCTCGGGGGTTGGGATCAAGCTCACACTGAAGTGGCTACAGCTAGCTTGCAGTGCTGCATCCTAACCCCCAGGGAGGGCCCTACATCACTTTTATATAATGGTATGAAGAAATTGTATGGGACTGAACATTTAAATTAAAATGAACTTGTGCTTTAACTGAACCATTAACCTGAATGTATGTTCAGGGGCAAAGGTAAGGAAGATATACAAATAATAGGTATTATATTATCAGTAACAGCCTCAAAATAGGAACTGATGAAAATGGGGGTTGGGAAAACATTGCGATGCACCAAGAAATTTAGCCTCACAAATGGGAGAGATTAAAAGGTGACCTATGTTCTCATAGGACACAACCCCAAAGTTCAGCTTTTCCTGCAACTTACATTTACCTCAGATCAAGTGAAAGGTCACAATTCAATCTGTGCAACTATATTTTCCACCCAGTGGTAACATTTTATGAATAGGACTGTCCAGGAAGGTATGGGTAACTTGGGCCCAGAGTCACCCTAACTGTCCATTTGCGTAGCTGCTGGTCAACTGGACATGGGCAGAATGAATTGCGCACCCCTCTCCCATGTCTGACCTCCTGGAACTTGCTTGTAGTTGTTTTATAGTTCTTTCTTTGTTTTTTTTTTTTTGTTGTTGTTGTTGTTGTTTGTGGAGTGAGGGTGTGTTGACCTTCTCCCGCCATCATTCTAGAAAAACAGGTTCCTTTTTAAAGAGCAAGGCAGATAATCTGATGTAGGTTTTTTGATGGTCTTATTTTAGAACAGTTGCCTGAAACCATGGCTGCCCTTTCATAGCAATGAGTGTTTTCATGTATATGCATAGGTGATTGCACACACAAATATAAAAAACATGTAATGATTATATATATACATTAATGGAGAACACATATGTGTGTATTCAGATTATTCTATCTAGTTCTATTTGAATTGTTCATGAAAATTAAAGAAAAAGTATGCACCTTACATCCTGCTTGTATCCATGGTTTCAGTGATGTGTGGGTGCACGGACATAGGACTTATGGGCAGAAACAATTAAAAAACATTAATGACAAAGTAGATATAGTGGCCATCCTCTGATACATCACTGCACAGCTTTAAGAGACGCTTCCCAGTGTACTATGGCAATTGTGCCTCCTGAAATTTTACTCTGGGGAAACTTTCCATAGAGAATATACAAATTGTGTTAAATATTAGTAAGACAAAATGTTACTCTAGTGATATTATAGACTTGACTTTTCCTCTAGTCTCTAGTGTTGTATGTTGGGCGAATCATTATTCATTCCCTTTTCCTGTACTATGAACGAACACAGTATTACCAAATACCCTCATCGTATTAACATTGCAACCAGGTTCTATGGTGATAAAATAACATTCATGCACATTGACATCATATTTTTTACATGAATAATTTTTTTTGACACAGAGGAAAAAAATCTCCTGCTGATGATGTGGTTACCTGAAATATGTTTTGCACATTCTCCCTTTTTCCAACCTTGTTAGCAAAGCCTTATCTTCTGTGGGCTTCGGTCTCTCAAGTACTTCCATACATTGCCCTGATACATTTAATGAATACATCAAGCATTTTTCTGAAAGAGACAAAAATGCCCAGAAGATTATGTTTTAATATTTCTTTTACTCCCCGAATTTCAGAGTCGAGCGGTTGGCTAAGGACATTTGGAAAGACATAGGCCACTGTGACTTTACGATCGTGTATATGTGTGAAAAGGATGATAGGTTCTTTCTGGAGCTTGTAGACTACATCAAGAACTTCTTCCAGAACTCAAAGAAATTTACCTCCGTGATGGTCTATTTTATGAAACTGCAAAGCAACGGGGTAAGTTCTTGTCCATTTTACTGATGTGATGTTTAGAATGAACAATGTTACTGAATGAAAATGAAGAATAATTCTTTTTTAATTTGCAAGATAATGCAATCTATAACTCAAATAATATTCTTTGGGGAGAAAAAAAAAACCCTCTCTGTTTTTGCATATATGGGAAGTTGTTTCAATAGTGATTAATGCTTTCTTATATGGCTTTAAAGCTGAGTGCTTATTTCCTGGTGCTCAGCCTCATAAGTAGGTGCGTCAAGAATAAGTGCTGGGCCCTCCCTGGTGGCGCAGCGGGTTGAAGCACAGCACTAAAAAGCTAAAGCCACTTCCGCATGAGTTCGATCCCCGCCTGCCCCGGAGGAGATCCACATGGCGTGGCAGACCTCTCCTGACCAGCCCACTGCTTCTCTCAGCAGTGTACTTCATCAGTGGGTCTGTTCTGCTCCCCACTCTGTGTGTGGTGAATCCTCTCACCATCCCTGCACCTCTGGCCTGTACCCAGTTCTGTATCCATGAATAAAAAAAAAAAATGAGTGCTAAGTAAGTCTGGTGACACTGATGTTTTTCTGCTGTGGGTGACTGCAGTTATTCTTGGAGAAAGGAACAGTGAGTCAGTAGGTGGGATAAGACAACCAGAAAGAAAACAGTAGAAAGCCCCACATCCCCATCCTCTGTGCTGGCCTTTTTGTTCCAGAGTTGAAGGTGATGATTCTCCAATGACGTGGTGTCTTTCAGATTCCACTCTTTTCTCTGATTCTACCTTGTATTATGCATTTGAATTTGCTGATTACTATCCTTACTGGAGGTGGAACTGTTGGAGTCAAAACCATGAAAGCATTCAAATTG